CTCTCTCTCTCTCTCTCTCTCTCTCTCTCTCTCTCTCTACCAAGTACTGACCTGCGAAAGGTGGTGCCTTGATGCAGGTGCGGACGTGGTGAAGACGAAGCTGGAGCAATGGCCACGCAGGTAAGTGTCAGGTAAGTCCTCAGGCCGCCATCACCATCTCTCCTTTCCTGCGCTACTCTACTCTATCAGCGCCCAGTGCTGGAGACTAGTCCTATCATCGACTACTACTGCCCTGCTGTCGTCCGGAGTATGCCTCCTCGATCCTCTACTCAATCTGTCGAACTGAGGCTGGACCCAGCTATATATAGCGCTGGGTCGGCCTCAGTGTCTGAGTCCCAGCGCTCAAACTGAGGTTGAGCCTCGAAAATTTGGTGCCCAAACTGAGGCTGGACCTCCAGCGCCTACCGAAACAGTGCGGCCTCAAAGCCAGGGTCTGGCGCCAAAATGTGCGCCATGGCCTGTACCCAAAATGAGGCCTACAGGGGCCCTCACCGGTACCGGTCCTACTCAGGCTTAAAACCGGCCTACCGACCCTGCGGACCCTACTACGGGTTGAGACGACACAGACCCTACACCTATGGACCCCTAGCCTACCCGGTCGGGCCATGCTGGGCCCGTGTGGACCTGAGTATGCCACACGCCCCCCTCCTTGAAAGACTGAGCTTATCTGCGAGGGCGAAGCTGTCTGTTGGAGGGAGGGACCGAAGTCCGGGTGGGAGGGGCAGGCGTTGCAGCTTCCATGGCTAACCGTTTCTTCTCATATTTGGCGTAGATAAGCGGTATGGAGGCTTGCAAGGCTGACCTTGTACTGCATTGGCTTGTTGCCGTGCTTGCGATGACGCGATTGACTTCCTGATGACCATCCATAGAAGGAGGGTCTTGCGATCGTCGACCTGGGAAGTCGTCGCTCTTGGCTGGTGTATATGTGGCCAGCTTGGAGGCGTGGAAGACCGGGTGGACCGGTAGATGCGGCGGGGTGTCGATCACAAAAAAAGGGCCATCGGGCTCATCACCCGCGGCTGATATGACGGTCCATGGTCCAAACCACTTAGGAAGTAGCTTGCACGAGACATCTTGTTCAAGTGCAAACTCCTCCGTGGAGACCCAAACAAGGTCGCCGACGCGGATAGGGCATGGCACGCGATGCCGATTGGCTTGCTGTTGCATGTGGACTTGGGCCTTTTGCATGTTGGCGCGGGCTTTAGCCAGCAAGTCCTGATACTTCCGAACGGAGGCGGGAGAGCAAGTGGCGTCGATGTCGACAGTCCTTGGAAATGCAAGATCAGCGAAGATATGACCTTTCCTGCCACCGTGGTCCAACTCGAATGGAATCACGCCGATCGCCGGATGCAACAAAGTGTTGTAGGCGAATTCGATGTTGGGGAGGCGGTCAACCCAATCCCTCTGATCCGTACGAATGAGTGTGTGACGCATCATTTGAGAGCGGTTTGATGTGCCCGCTCCGTTTGCTCGTCCGTTTGTGGATGCCGAGCTGAACTTGGTTTCATCTCGGTGCCGGACTCCTTCATGAGAGAAGTTCAAAATGCCGACATAAAACGAGTGTCGCGGTCTTTGACGATGTCTTCCGGGACGTCGTGGCCGCAAATCCAGCCAGTGTGCAAGAGTCGCGCAAGCTTCGGAGTTGTGGCGTAGTACTTGCAAGGAAGAAATCGTGCGTACTTGCTCAAACGGTCAACGACCGTGAGAATGCCGTCGTGCCGAAGCGGTCACGGGGGAACGGGCCAGTGACGTCCATAGCAATGGAGAGGCCGGGTTCCCGCGGAATAGGCAACGAGCGTAACTCGCCGTAGGGGTTGCGATTGCGGGGTTTACTTCATCGGCAAACTTCGCAAGAGTCGCAATACCGAGTGACATCGATAATGAGGTCGGGCCACCAGAATCGTCGCCTAAGTCTTGCGATCGTATGGTTGACTCCGAAGTGGCCGGCAAGTCGCGAGTTGTGGTACTCGCCGAGGAGGTGAGTCCGCAAGCGACAGTCATGTGAGACGCATAGTAAGTCCTTGCCTCGTGAGTGAAGAAGCAAGTAGCCGTCGACGATGCGATAATGGCTGGCCGGCGGGTGATCCGAGGATAGTTGCTCGTAGCGAGTGGCGTATTCCGGATCAGACTTGTATGCTCGCACAAAATGCTGATGAAGGGCGTCATCGAAACTGAACGCGTGGTGAGTCAATGCATAAAGATCTGATCTTCGTGAGAGAGCATCAGCGACTCGGTTGGAGAGGCACGAAATGTGTTTTGATGTGAAGTCGAAATGATCGATGAAGTACATCCATCGAGCGATCGTGTTGCTCACCGCGTCTTGCGTCTTGTAGTAGGTCAATGGGTTATTGTCTGTAGCCCAAGTGAACCTACGATGCCCGAGGAGGAAGTGTCGCCAACGCTTTAGGACCGTGACGGAAGCAAGCAACTCCTATATCCGCGCATCATCAACCGAGTTGATGGGAGGCACCTTTTGGCTGAAGTACTCAACCGGATGCCAATCTACTCCGTCGTGTTGTTCCAAAACTGCACCCATGCCGTAGCCGGGAAGCGTCCATAGTCACTCTCGTAGGCAAGGTGGGATCGTAGATATTCAAGACGGGAGTGAGGAGCAACGACGTCTTCAATTTGTGGAACGAACTGCGGACGTCGTCAGTGAATTGGAAGGGCACCTTCGAAGACTGCAATCTTGACAAGGGCGCGGCGATCCGTGCGTATCCTCTGATGAAGCGTTGGTAGTACCCGACCAATCCCATAAAAGAGTGGACTTTCGTGGTGTTCGTCGGTTCTATCTAATCTTGGATGGCCTTGATCTTGTCCGCGAGTGGACGGATGTGACCAAGTACTCGAGCTCTTGCTGCGCAAATTGAATCGGTTGGCCTTGTACTTGGTCGTACGTAGCCTGTCCAAAACAACGCGTAGATGCATGATGTGCTCGTCCAAAGTCCAGCTATACACCAAGATGTCATCGAGGTAGATGAGCATGAACCGGTCCAATATGTCGCGAAACTCCGTTGTCATTGCCACTTGGAAGGTGGCCGGGGCATTCGTGAGGCCGAATGGCATTACGACCCACTCGAAGTGCCCGTACCGTGTCTTGAACGTGGTTTTGTACCAATCTCTTGGATGGATCTCAAGCTGGTGGTAACTGGCCTTGAGGTCCAACTTGGAGAAGTACTTGGCGCCGCCCAAGCGTTCGAGAAGATCATCGATGTGTGGAAGTGGACCGACATTCTTAATTGTTTGAGCATTAAGCTTACGATAGTCAATGCATAAGCGCCGAACGAAGAGAATGGGTGCACCGTAGGGCGAACAGCTAGGGCGAATCCAGCCCTTGTCAATGAGGTCATCAAGTTGCGTTCGAAGCACTTCGAGTTCCTCCTCGCTCATGCGGTAAATACATCTGCGTGGAGGTGCCTTCGAGGATGATCTCGTGACGAATTGGCCGATTCGGTACGATTCCAGCGGCGGCTTCAAACACGTCGCCGTAGGAGTCAAGAAGCTGTACGATGAGTGGATCCGATGGCTGTTCCGCCGCTGGCTCGTCGGGAGGAGGGAGGGCGTGCAAGAAGCAAATGCCCATTTCCTCCACGTCGTTCCGTGCGATGGAGTTGCGAATGCTTGTCGCGAAGACCACTTGACAACCAATCGAAGGGTGAGGGGACCGTACATGGCAAAAGTACCCCGTTCCGGTCACGAACGTGAACGGTGCGGTGGTAGAAGTTCACCGGGTGGTCCTCGCTGTGCAGCCACGATATGCCCAAAATCATGTCAAACAGTGTGTCCAATATGTCAAAGGCCACGATCTTGCGTGCATGCGGGGCGAAGTATACGGGGACGGAGTCAACGCACCGGTCAATGGACTTGTGCGTACGACCGTTGGCCAATGTAACTTGCGTGGGCTGCGATTTCCTTCGAATGTGCGGTCCAAGGCTGGCGCGCGCCATGAAGTCTTGGCTGATGTAGTTGCGAGTAGCTCCACAATCAATCAAGGCGTTGCCGATTGCCTTCCTGATCTGAATGCGGACGTACAGTAACGATGTGTCGATGTTGTCGTACCGTTGCGTGGCGTACTCGCGGTCAATCTTCGCAATGTACTTGTGAAGGTCAACAACCGCTACTCCGTCTTCCATCACTGGAGTTGGTACTGTAGTGTGCAAGTAGTTGTGCAGTTCTGCCATTAAGGTGTTGCAATGCGGCTTCAAACTAGGATGTTAGCTCAAAGTGTTTTCTCCACTCCTTCTCACCTTGTATCCTTGAACCGATCACCATTTTTCGGCTAATCTAGCCTTCTCCGTCCCTCGGGACAAATAAGGGGTGGTACAGGAATATTCGCCTGTTGTCCATCGACTGCGCCGTTCGGCTTAATCTTAGGCCCTGACTCACCCTCCGTGGACGAACCTTGCGGAGGAACCCTTAGGTTTTCGGGGCATTGGATTCTCACCAATGTACAAGGAACCCGATGGGGGAAGAGGCATCCCAAGTCCTCCGACGTCAATGGATCGAGGTCCTCAAGTCTAGCCCATACAGACGAGTCCCCGAGTAGCGTCGGCGAGGATGCTGGTTCACTTGGCGATGGTTTGAAGTCGCGCACGCATATGACTCTTGCACGTGGAGAGGTTGGTCCAATGGAGGGACCAGCTGGACAACATAGTCTTTGTAACTTTTGTGAAGACTTGTGACATACACATGTTCCCCGGACGTGGAGGAGGTTGCTAGCAAGGCAACCATGTCCGGCGGAGTAGGAAGTGGAGTCGCCTCACCTCCCACAGAGCTTAGTTTCCCGAGCTTTGCTGTGGACGAACATCTTCTTTCCCTTCGTCGGGGCATTGCCACGTCGTGTGCTTGGTGCTATTGCACCAATAGCAACAGTTCCACTTCTGGCGGAGCTTGAATTTCTCCTCCGTGAGGCGGAACTTCTTCCACGGCTCGTTCAGCTGTCCGACTTCCGTTGTTGACGCGGATTTCGCCTTTTTCTTCTTGTTGTTGCGTCGTGGCGGAAGGGCGTTGACTCCGTCTCCTTCACTAGACTCGTGAGTCAATGCCTGGTCGTCATCTTGTCCATCGGATTGGACAATAGCAACTTGCTGCGGTCGCGGACCTTTGCCCCTCTCCGCAAAAGTTGGTTGGCTTCGTTGCTCGTTGGCGGCCCACCGATTTGTTTGGATTACTTCGTGCGCCTTTTCCATGATCTGGTCAAAGTCCGTGTACAGGCTACGCTCCCCAAGGGCTGTGCTCAATGCGTCGACCGACCGCTGGAAGAACTCGCGATGAAGATGTACGAAAGGTATATCTAGATTCAGAATCGTTACGAGTTTCTGCCATTCGGTTAGCCATTCACGTGTTGACTGGTTGCCTTGGTGCATGGTGAAGATCCGGTTTGCGCCTTTGCCTTGAGCCTCCTCGATGATGAAGCGTTTCCGCCACTTCTCGGTCATGGCCTCCCAAGTGATCTTGGTGTTGAGCTTAGCGACCTCGACGCCTTCGGTTTGTGCCGGGTGGTTGAACCACACTTGGCTGGCATCGGTGCTGCAGAGGTAAAGAGCTGAGATCTTCGACTCTGGTGGGACCAAGTGAATGGAGAGCTCGTTGGTGAACCCTTGCCACCAACTTATGGGGTCCGCCATGTGGTAGTCATCAAACTTGTCGGTGCTGAACTTTGGCATCTTGTACTGTTTAGACGTCATGCTGTTGCAGGTCCCAGTTGGTTGTTGCTGCAGCTGACGCAAATCCGCTTGAAGGGCGGCTATTTGCTGGCTGATGGTCATCGGTCGTTGGAAACTGTTCAAATTTCCGATGAACGCTACCAGGTGATCCATTCGTCCTTCCAGCTTGCGGACTGATGGATCAGTACTTGAGGATGCAGTGTGTCGGTGCGGTACGTCATCCTTCTCCAACATGTCAAGGCGGGCGTAGAGACTCTTGAGGGTCTCCTCATAACTGGAAATGACATGTGCCTGCCGGGCCAACTCCACTTGTTGCCAGTTACAAGTGAGGATGACTTGGTGCATCATGTTGGCGAGGGCTGACTTGGTCTGTTCCTTCGCAGTCGGTTCAATCGATTCCGCCGGATCAACATTCTATGCTTGGAGTGCAACGGTATGAGCGGCTTCGTGCTGCATGAGGACGGATGTGGCATCTTGTCGAACTTTGTTATGGTTGGCAGCTACTTCAGCGTGCTGCCAGCTCCGTTGCTCCGCATCACGTGCAATGGCGTTGAGTCGTGTGGCTTTGGCTGCCGCCTCGCGTCGCTGTTCCTCTTGTACCTGCTGCATGTAGGTGGCCAGGCGGGCCATGAAGGCCGTCATGGTCTCACCCTGCTGCCGGACTGGCGCAGCGTTGAGGGCTCCTGCAGGTGACGCAGTTGAACTCACCTACTGGACCTGTGGGACCAGGGGGTTCGTACAGCATACCCCGCGTGGACTGCCGGATGCGGCATTGTCCACCGTGGGGTTGCCTTGTGCCTCCATTTCGGAGGGAAGGGGCAGGGGTAGCTGCTGTTCTGATGCGGCTGCCCGCCCTTCACGTGTTGTGATGCATCTGCTGCGTCGGAGCATAAGCTGCGGCTGTGCTGTGTCGGCTGACGTGACACTGCTGAAGTGGCCCTGGTGCTGACGTGGCACTTTGTTGACGCGGCAGTTGTGGACGTGGCAACTCATGAAATTGTGGACAGCCGTAAATCGCGCCAAGTCAGAGACTAGCGAAGCTCATAAATGATGAAGTTGAAATAGTTTCTCCCCCATCTTCAATGAAACAATGTCTTCCTTCTTCGTGACGCTCGCTGCTCGGCGCCCAGACCACAGCAGTCAGATCCACTCTAGCCTACTTTAAAAAACAACCAAAGGTTGGCTTGAACAGCTTCCCGAAGTACGTGCAGAGATCAGCCAATGTCGTCCGCAACATGCACCAGGTACGTCCCAGTCTCCCTCTCAACCTCAATCCTCCCCCCAGATGCCACGTGCACCCAAGAACTCGCAGTAAGAGGGTTGCAATGCTGAGTCGAAAACAGGCCTCACCAACCTGTGACGTGATGCGTGCGCTAGGCGGCCATGGTTGTGACACACTCCGAAAACCAATCCCGTATCAACTCAGCAGAACAGCACAACTCAAGAAATTCTGAACAGATTACAAAGAGAAAAGGATGGTGATTGCACTTGGCTAGTAATCGCTTGTTGGCGATGACGGAATGATTCTCGCACAATGTCTGCCTGGATTCTGCCTCAGACCTTACGATATCAGTCAGCACTCTCGCCACATCAACCAGTGACGTGGTGTGTGCTATCACCCTCCTTTGCTGTGCGGTCACAGATGCCACATGAACCCAAGAACTTGCTGCGTCGAATACGGGAAGAATCCCACACAATGTATACCTGGCTTAATCAACAAGATCTCGCTGTAATGACACTTGTGCACCCACAAACTCACTTTAAGAGGACGTCAATGCTGCCATTGCTAGTGATCGTTTGGTGAGTCAACTACGGGACGAATCTCACTCAATGCATATCTGGCTTGAACAACCCGATCTCGCTGTAAAGCCTCTTGCAACCTATCACCACTCTTGACAAAACACCTCAATCCTTCAGACTTACTACCTCCTCAAACTGTGACATGATGCGCGCACGACACAGCGAAACACATGAAAATCTGAACAGATTTAAAAGAAAAACGATGTTGGTAGTCATCGCTTGTTGAGGCGATCACGGAAGATTCTCGCACACTGTCTACATGGATTCCGCATCGGACCACCACTCACCTCTAAATCGTTATCGGTCGTCTCAATCCACTTCACACTTTAGCATTCAGAAGGCTGTCTTTGCCTTGATTTCATAGGTACTTCCCACCGAACGTACCTACACTGCCATTTGCTACATCTCCTGACATGGCAGCACTGAAATCTGTTGTGAAATTGGTAGAGGAGAATCTTTCTCACCGTCGTGAATAAGTTACTCCACCAGTCAGCACTACCGCCGCATCAGTCTGTGACATGGCGTGTGCTAGTTCCCTCCTCTGCTGCGCGTGTGATAGGCGGCTGGTCATCCAGAATCTCTACCTCACTATTATCATGCTCCCTTTCCTAACCTCCCCCCTGTTTCTCCCCCAAGCCATCTTTTGCAGAATTCTTGTATCCTTTGCTTTATTTCATTCGGTGTGTGAACGTGACACAGTCTGATTTGTGCTTTAACTTCCTCCCACCGTGCTGTTATGTTTGTATGGATCTGTTGTTGTATACTCTCCGTAAATTCTGAATTCATTCTGTATATGGGATGCTGGACCTGTTTTCCAACAGGTGATGCTTCCCACCAATAGATGGAGCCTCTTCCCAGGTGTTAGTTCTGTCTGCTCTTACCAGCACCAATAGCACCGGGGAGGATGTTTCAAAAAAAAAAGAAAAAAGGAAAAAAAGAGCAGCCTCCCTAAGTGGCTCCCCGGTTGAAGGCTCCATCTATCGGTGGAGAGCTGCACCTGCTGGAAACCGGGTTCAGGGTCCCTCCTATTACAAGACATATCAATGACTGACAAATGTTTGGACAACTGACATATGTTGGCAGAGTTTGCTGTCCTATATTTTTATGTTTGTCATATTGACATATTCCCTTTTCCACAAGAACTGTGCTCCATATCCCCTCACCTCATCTGCGTCTTTCTTGCCTCCCAGAGTTATGAAACTGGTATACCACAGGGATGACAAGATTGCGGCATCAAGAATAAATGCATGCCCTCGGAGCGAGGGACTCTGACGTTGACTCACTTTCTCAATCTTTCTTTACCTCGGCTCACCATTGCCCTCCACACTACTTCCTTATTATTGGTGAAGGAAATCGTATGTCCCAGTGATCTTTCAGCATGAGCTGGTGGTACTCTCATCCACCAGGGTTGTCGTTGTTCTGACGTCTTCGTTTTCAAAATTGTTGTCTTTCTCCAATTGACTGAGGTTTCCGATGCTCTTTCATACCATGACAGTCCTTCTGAGGGCTTGTCTAGCTTGATCTGAATATTCCACCAACCCTGCAGTGTCATTGGTGCAAGGAATATGAGTGTGAACGATATACAGAAAACCAAGTTGCGAAATCACACAGATGTCCAAGTAGTCGTGTCCAAGCAGAGAGTACAAATGCACCGAGGAACCATCCATATAGAGCAATACAATGAAGTAATGAGCCAATGTTCAAGGCCGTAGGCCACACCAACACAGTATCCAAAGTCGCTCCTCTCTGTCTGGCGCCAGCGCCCAGCCTACTCTACCCGACTATCCTACCTACAGCTGTGTTCACGCAACAGGCTCACTTCGACTCTCGAAGACCAATGTACATGACTGTCAACACCATAGCCAACCTCTCTTAATGTACCAGGTACGTATCTCATCACCCTCAATCAGACCTTGATAACCCCACACTCGCCTCCTTCCCTGAAGACCACCAGATCACCCGCATTACCCCCCCTGGTGCCCAGCAGCCCGGCTATGGCTGCCTGCGCCCTGCTGCCCTGCAGCACCCCACTTCACCTCTACGCGCCCCGTCAGTGCCCTTGGCCGCAGTGCAGCATCAAGCAGTAGCGCAGCAGCACTTCTGCATTGCCTACGCAGGCCAGCATGCCTGGCCTGGAATGCCTCACTTCTCTTATGGAAGTGGCAGCCTCCTGAATGCTGCATGTGGCCTGGCTGGAAGCTTCCAGTAGCTTCCGGTTGGGCCTCAGTCCCTGCGCCCAGGCCCGAGACTACAGTTGAGGGCCTGGGCCCCTTTTTACAGTTGGGCACGGCCTGAGTCTCCGGACTTGGGCTGTTTGCTGCATCTATGCAGGGCTCCCAGGTAGGTGTGTTGCCACTACTGCTTTTGCATAGGGCATGGCCTGCTTCTCAATGTATCGGCCCTGCTTTGTGTGTATGTGCCCAGGTGCAACTGTCATAGCCTGGGCCAACTGTCCGATGCAGCTTAGCGAGGCTCACGCATCTACTCAACCAACTGGTGCGTTGCAAGAGCCTGAATACCCACATACGGAAGTGTCAATTTTTTTGGCCTCTGACGAATATTCAGGCCCGCCTTCACTTAGGGCGGGCACTTGGCTTGCTGGGGGCCTTTGCCCAGAACATGTGATGCCTGATAGGGCTCTGTGAGGGCTCGTTCCTGGCATTGGTGAATCCCCTTCGCACTAGGCTGTCCCATTTTTCAATTGCAGACCTCGGATACATGGATTCATTTTTATTTTCTTTTTTTTCCGTTGTTATTTTCAAAAATTTTCCATTTTTTGATTCGTTTCGGACATCTGCAACGTCCCACCTTGATAGCCATCTCTTACTCGGAAGTTACTCCTATCGTACCGCTGGTAAATCTTTGACTCTACCACCATGCACTGCGTGTCATCCTTGGGCAGGGATCATGCTAATCTTTTCTGTGTGGTTCCAATTTGAATGGACGTCCTGGAGAAGTCATGGATTCATTCTAGTTGTTATCAGCAGTGCTACATGCGCTGTCCACAAGGTTGCTTGCTTACGACTTGTGCTTTTCCTCCAACAGGCTTTCCATATCAAGTTGGTGGTGTACGTGTCTGCTTCTAATACTCAGTGACTGTCAACATCCGGTTGTGGTATATGGAGGGGCTGTTGCTCACGTGGCTCGGCATGTGTTTATTTGTCGGTTGATTTTCAACTGCAACTCCGGACAATGCCTGGTGAAGCACACTTTTTGCACAGGTTCACTGGACTCCCTCCCTCCCTCCCTCTGTGTGTGTGTGTGTGTGTGTGTGTGTGTGTGTGTGTGTGTGTGTGTGTGTGTGTGTGTTGTGTGTGTGTGCGCTTTTCCCTTTTCCAACCCGTCTTTTCTCCCTTCCTCAAAAGGGCAGTGAATCTTGTTGGGTCCATTTCTGATTCTATCAGGATTT